TTGTGAACAGACTTTCATATAATGAAATAGTAATGTAATGCTAACTCGGGATAATATCAGCTTTTCCAAAATCCTTCAACTCTGGCTCATAGCTAATTATTCTGTGGAAACTTTTCTCCGGCAAGTCTTTCTGACCTCTTCTGTATTAGGAAAAACAAAAACTCTCAGGCCCAGGCAAAACGTTCCTGAAACATTATACCTTCAAATGTGTATCACAAATCTTTCACTTCTTAAAATGTTACTTGGAGCTTTCAATGGCTGAATTCAAACTGCAGTGAAATTTGACTTCTGTTTTGTTACTTAATCTGAAGTGCTAGTTGGTATTCATTTGAAGGTTAGAGCAGATGGCTCAGTGCAGCCAAATTTTTAAACCCAGTACCCAGGCAAAACTGCAAGATTAAAGGAACACTATAATGTTAATAATACAAAATCCCCCCATCCCCTCCCCCCCCCCACCCCATACCCACGCCAGCTATGTAAAGGGTTAAAGAAACCTATAAACACTTAGCTGATTCCAGCACCGATGTCCCTCGGTGCTGCGTCGTGCTCCTCCTCCTCAGACATCAGCCAAAAGGGGGAACCTAATATGAATGCACGCGAGCGTCGCACGCACATTAGGCCTTCCTCATAGGAAAGCATTAACTCAACCTCCTTGAAACAGCAGGAAGACAGCCACTAAAAGCAGCCTTAGCACTGCAATGTAAACATTCCAGTTTCTCTAAAACTGCAATGTTTTAAATTGTAGGGTTAAGGGAACAGGGACACTGCACCCAGACCACTTCAATGAAATGAAGTAGTGTGGGTGTCCCTTTAAGCTAAAGCTATTTCTGAAAAGCAGATTTTTACAAGGGAAGAAAACACAAATGCTCTCTTCTAACCAGGGAATTTTGAGAAAAATCATACACACAAAAAAAAAATAAGATTTTAGGCCACAAAAGTCATTGAAAAAAATATTTTTTTCCAGTTGGGCTACTTTGATTCAGACTGTGGAATTCCTTTGTCAGCTCTCCACATTTCCATTCCACTAAATAACGCAGCATTAAAATAAGGCTTATTCATATTTCATTTCGAATCACAGTTTACAGCATTCAAAGGGACACTAGTAACAGCCAGGTACATTAAAAAAATGGTATTCAATATTCTTCAATGTTTGAATATGCCAACAGCATAGGAGACCTTGCCATGTTTCAACCACAATGGGTGGTACAATATATGTTTGCAGGGTATAGGTGCTTCTCTACATACTTAAAGTCTTTGGAAAACTTGGGTTTATAATTTTAAATTGATTTCTGGAGGCAGAATAACATGCCACATAGATTGCCACATCATTACTTGTCATAGATTAACAAGTAAAGGCAGACCTGGCTGAAATGACAGGAAATAAACTAAAAAAAAAATCTAAAGACAACCCACTGTGTCATCACAACTTTTCCAAAAGCATTTTCTTCAATGAAGTTTAAATACAACACACATTATTAGCAAGGGATTTAATTTAAAATAAAAAGAGGGTTGAACAAACTTACATGTTCTGTAAAATATTTACTGGTTAATAAACACTAAAAATAGTTCCACTATTGGTTTGAACTGATGTATAATGTACACAGCTGAACTTATATATTAACAGGTGTTCCCAATAGCACTTTTGTTATTTTTAAAAGCATTATTCAGCTTTGGTTGACTTGATGAGGCTTCATTAACTGCCCTTCCTCTGGCTGGAGCACAATGTCTTAAACAGGATTACAGAGGAGGCCTCGGTGACAGTGCATCAAGTATACTCCTCTAATCCAGAATTACAGGACTGCTGGAACTGCAAGCCCATCACTAAATTCAGGTAAGCCAGCTGGAGCAGTTTAAGGTTACTTTACAAATAATGAAAGCGGTCTCAGGAAACCCATATAAAGGCAAAAAAAACCAACACTTAAAATGGGGGGAAATATTATTACATTTTCGTGAGTTAATATTCCTTTAAGAAAAGGGAAATACTTTATTAAATGCTAACAGTGGCTTATAGCCTGGTCAAGACTCAGACACTGGGCTTCAGTATCTCAGTGCTGCTATAAGGCATAACAACAGTTCATTGTAACCAGGGCCGGACTGGGAAAAAAATTAGGCCCGGGCATTTTTCAATCAGAGCCGTCCCCTAAGAAGGGGGCGGGGCCCAGAGAGTGTGTGTTTTGTCATCACTAATGACAACACGCCCCCTCTCAAAGAGAGCATGTTGGTTCAATGCCCAGAGCCCTGCTGAACAGCTCTGGCATTAGAAAAAGGCCCTGAATTTGTTCTGCGCAGTGCAAGCAAATGTAATAACATGCTTGCACTGTGTTTGCTTTTAAATTGTCTCTGGTGTCTCCACAAGTGGGATACCAGAGGACAAAAGGGCCAGGAAAGTGCATGGTGCATATGTTTGGAGCCTGCTTGTGGGATTGCGTGTGTGTAGAGTGTGGTGTGGTATTGTATAAATAGGTCAATTTAATTTGTGTTTGTGGTGTAATATGTGTGGCTAGGGGCTGTAGAGAGTGTGTGTATAGGGGGCATAGTTTTATAGGGGATGCAGCGAGTGTGTGCATACGGGCTGAAGTGTGTGTGTATAGGTGACGTAGTGTGTGTAGGGGTTGCAGAGAGGGTGTGTTTAGAGAATGTTGTATGTGTTTGCTGACAAGGAATGTAGTGTGTGTGTGTCGGAGATCTACTGTGTAAATGACCCAGTGTGTGTGTGTGTGTGTAGAGGATTAAGAGTGCATATAGGGTAAGGGATCTAGTGTGTATCTGGAGCGTAATGTGTGTAGTGGTGCAGTGTGAGGGGTGCTGTAGTGTGTGTGTGTGTGTGTGTATGTATATATATATATATATATATATATATTTTGACTTATTGTATGTGTGAGGGGCGCAGTGTGTGTATGTAAGAGGGGTGCTGTGTGTGAGGGTGTTTTTATCTGCTGTCACATTGTAGGTTTCTAATTTTCTTTGTCTGTTAACTCACTGAGGGTTATTTTATATATATATATGTGTGTGCTGTATATGTGTGGGTGTGTGCTGTGTGTGTCTGGGGGGTGCTGTGTGTGTCGGGGGGTGCTGTGTGTGTTTGGGGGGTGCTGTGTGTGTCTGGAGGGTGCGCTGTGTGTGTGTCTGGGTGCGCTGTGTGTGTGTCTGGGTGCAGTGTGTGTGTGTCTGGGGCAGTGTGTGTAGTCTGGGGGTGCTGTGTCTGGGGGCTGTAACTGGGGGCTGCTGTGTCTTGGGGGTGCTGTGTGTGTCTGGGGGTGCTGTGTGTGTCTGGGGGTGCTGTGTCTGGGGTGCTGTGTGTGTCTGGGGGTGCTGTGTGTCTGGGGTGCTGTGTGGTGTGGAGTGAATGTATTTTTTATGTAATTTAAATATTTTTTACTAATGTGGAATATTTCCTCTTACCTTTATCCTGGGAGGGGGGGAGGAGGAGATCCATTCTGCCTGGGGGGTTGGGAGCCATGCTGCCTTCCCTGGTAGTCCAGTGGTGAGAGTGAACTCTAACCTGCAGGTTAGAGTTCACTCTCGCGAGATCTGAGCTTTGCCGCGGTAACGCTCAGAATCCCGCGAGAGGAACCGGCGGAGCTGCTGGTTAGAGCCCTCCCTCCCTTTGATCTCCCCACCGGCCCATGGAGGCACTATGCAGGGCCGGCGCTCGGATAGCGCTGGCCCTGCAGCGGCCGGCCGGGGAGATCCCCTGCCGGCCTTGGCCCCACGGCCATCGCGGCCCACCGGGCATTTGCCCGGTATGCCTGATGGCCAGTCCGGACCTGCACTGCACCCCTGGCACTCAAAGCACCCTCACACACACACACACACACACACACACACTTCCCCCCTGACACTTACAGCACCCTCACTCACACACACACTGCACCCCTGGCACTCTCAGCACCTTCACTCACACTCACAGCACCCTCACACCCTCACACACACACACACTGCACCCCTGACACTCACAGCACCCTCACTCACACACTTACTGCACCCCTGACACTCACAGCACCCTCACTCACACACACACACACTGCACACCTGACACTCTCAGCACCCTCACACACACACACTGCACCCCTAGCACTAACAGCACTCTCACACACACACACTGCACACCTGACACTCTCAGCACCCTCACACACACACACACACACACACACACACACACACACACTGCACCCCTGGTACTACACACAGCACCACACACACACACACACACACACACACTGCACCCCTGGCACTAACAGCACCCACCCACACACACACACACACACACACACACTGCACCCCTGGCACTAACCGCACCCTCACACACACACACACTGCACCCCTGGCACTCACAGCACCCTCGGCACTCACAGCACCCTCACTCACACACACACTGCACCACTGGCATTCACCACACCCTCACTCACACACACACTGCACTCCTGGTACTCACAGCACCCTCACACACATACTACACCCCTCACATGCACACACATCACCCTCACACACACACTGCACCCCTGACACTCAAAGCACTCTCTCTCACACATACTGCACCCTCACACACAGCTTCCTTACACACACTGATCCCATCACACACACACACACACACACACACTGCACACCTGGCACTAACAGCACCCTTACACACACACTGCACACCTGACACTCTCAGCACACACACCCACACACACACACACACTCTGCACCCCTGGCACTAACCGCACCCTCACACACACCCTTGGCACTCACAGCACCCTCACTCACACACACACTGCACCACTGGCACTCACCACACCCTCACTCACACACACACTGCATCCCTGGCACTCACAGCACCCTCACACACACACTCTGCACCCCTGACATTCACAGCACCCTCACTCACACACACACTGCACCCCTGGCACTCTCAGCACCTTCACTCACACTCACAGCACCCTCACACACACACACACACTGTACCCCTGGCACTCACAGCACCCTCGCACACATACTACACCCCTCACATGCACACACATCACCCTCACACACACACTGCACCACTGACACTCACAGCACTCTCACACACACTGCACCCTCACACACACTGCACCCATCACTCACAGACAGCAGACACTGCACCCCTCACACACACACACCCTGGCACTAACTGCACCCTCACACATTCACACACACACTGCACACCTGACACTCTCAGCACCCTCACACACACACACACACACACACACTGCACCCCTGGCACTACCAGCACCCTCACACGCACACTGCAGCCCTGGCACTCACAGCACCCTCACCACACACACACACACACACTGCACCACTGGCACTCACCACACCCCTCACTACACACACACACACTGCACCCCCTGGCACTCACAGCACCCCTCACACACACACACACACACTGCACCCCTGGCACTCACAGCACCCTCATTCACACACACACTGCACCCCTGGCACTCTCAGCACCTTCACTCGCACACACACACTGCACCCCTGACACTCACAGCACCCTTACACACATACTACACCCCTCACATGCACACACATCACCCTCACACACACACACTGCACCCCTGACACTCACAGCACTCTCACACACACACACACACACTGCACCCTCACACACAGCTTCCTTACACACACTGCACCCATCACTCACACATAGCAGACACTGCACCCCTCATACACACAGCACCTTTGTGCACACATTGCATCCCTCTTGCACACACACTACACACATCACCCTCACACACACACACACACACAGCACCCTCACACACACACACACACACTGCACCATACTCTTTAATGGCATTTTTGTCTACTGGTATCCCATCTTTGGAGACACCAGAGACAAATTTCAAACAAACACAGTGCAAACATGTTATTAAATGTGCTTGCGCTGTGGAGAACAAATACAGGGACTTTTTCTCATGTTAGAGCTCTTCAGCAGAGCTTTGCGCATGGTCTGCCCTGGAAGAGCATTGAACCAACATGCTCACTTTGTGATGGGGTATGCTTATCATTGGTGGAAAAACACACCCTATTTGGCCCCGCCCTCTTTTCAGTGGGCCACTGTAATTAAAAAATGCCAGGGCCAAATTTTCTTCCCAGGCTAGCCCTGGACCCCAGGTGAAAAGCCAAACCATTCTAAAATGGTTTGATTACTCGCAATGGGAGTACCTAGGCACTCCTGGCATCATAATCATTACAGCATGTTGGGGTTATGGTGCTTGGAGTATGCCTTAGACAACATTGGCTTCCCTTGTATGCAGTTGCATAACTACTGGAGGGGGCTACAGTGCGGCTGCCCTGGGTGCAAAAATTGTGGGGAAGAGCGCCGAGAGGAGTGGGCCTGGTCGCTTATTCAGAAAAAGAATAGATGCCTACTCTGCCAAAATATACAGGAGGCGAGAGAGTGCTGATATTCTTCCAGTTCCTCACGGCTCCCTAACACCTAATACGGTGATGCCAGGAGCCAGAATATGGCATCACTCCTGCCCTGGCATCACTAAATAGCGAGCAAAGGAGCATTGAGGAACTGGATGATTACCAGAGCCACTGGACCCCAGAGGAAAGATCCCCTTTGGACCCCCAGGAGAGAACTCACACCAGCTTTCCCAATGGTAGTAAGGCTCGATGTGCCTAAAAAAATAAAAGCACCATAAATAAAATTAATATGTGTGTCTGTCAATGAGCGTGTTTCAACTCAGTGAAAGTGTCTGTCAGTGCATGTGTTTCAAATCAGTATCATTGTGTTTGTGTGTGTTTCAATGTGTATGCGTGGGGCAGTGTATGTGCACCCAGCAAGCAATTGCCAACTGTACATAAAAACACATTCAAACATTAAACACAAGTACACCACATGCTTTCAAATAGCAACAGTACATACGCACATACAATTGCATTCAAATGCCAACACTACACACAAATAAATACATTCAAACACACAAAACATGCTTAAATTCGTCATCCGTTATTTGTTTGCTATTGTATTAAGCAGTGTTCATTCATAAAGATTGTAATGCACTTCATCAACAAACACTATGGTCTTTACATGTATTGAATTGCTCATATAGCCATACAACCAGAGGGACATGGTGGATGGGATCTGCGGGGTTGGTACATGGGAGGGGTGGGAGTGTAACATTTTATTCTTTCCTAGGCGACCATAACTCTAATTACGCCACTGCTTGTATGAAAAGGAATATTTTCATTCTTCCATAAATTACTTATCCTAATAGCAAAGCAAACCAAAGGAAAATGGAAAGAAAATATATTATGCAAAAGACTCTTAGCATAATATTTTGCAACCAAGCATTTGCAATGAAAGTTGTATGGAAATTTATTGATCATCGCTTTTTAAAACCATTTAGCTAAGAACTATAGTAAGCCATTTAACCACGAACTATAGTATCCTGTGATATTGCAACATCCTGGGTACACTGCCCAAAATTCCAGAATCGTCAAGATAAATTGCAGGCATCTTATCATATGTTTAGATTGTAAGCTGCAGAGAGATGTAGATAGATTGGGGTACTGGGCACAAAAATGGCAGATGAAATTTAATGTAGAGAAATGCAAAGTTATGCAATTCGGGATCAAGAATTCACAAGCAACCACACACGAGAAGGATTTGGGAATTGTTATAGACAACAAATTAGGCAGCAATATGCAATGTCAATCTGCAGTTGCTAGGGCCAGTAAGGTTTTGTCATGTATAAATAGGGGCATAAATTCTCGGGATGAAAATATAATTTTGCCTCTTTATAAATCGTTGGTAAGATCACACTTTGAATATGCTGTGCTACTTTGGGCACCTGTTCTAAAGAAGGATATCATGGCACTAGAAAAAAGTGCAAAGACGAGCTACAAAATTGATAAAAGGAATGGAGCATCTTAGTTACGAACAGAGGTTAAAAAATCTAAATCTCTTTAGTTTGGAAAAATGGCGCCTCCGAGGGGATATGAGAACATTATACAATTATAGTCGGGGCAAGTACAAACCATTATCTGAAAATCTATTCATAAAAAGGGCTATACATAGGAGGTCACGCATTTAGGCTTGAAGAAAGGAGATTTAATCTAAGGCAAAGAAAAGGGTTTTTTACAGTAAGAACTGCAAGGATATGAAATTCTCTGTCTGAAGAGTGGTTTTATCAGAGTCCATACAGATGTTTTACCCCTTAGTGACCAGACATTTTTTTCAATTTTCTTACCGTTAAGGACCAGGGCTCTTTTTACATTTCTGTGGTGTTTGTGTTTAGCTGTAATTTTCCTCTTACTCTTACTTTACTGTACCCACACATATTATATATCTTTTTTATCACCATTAAATGGTCTTTCTAAAGATACCATTATTTTCATCATATCATATAATTTACTATAAAAACAATTATAAAATATAATGAAAAAATGTAAAAAGGGGGGGGCGGGACCGGGCCGCCGGGCTGACTGGACGCCATTCACAGGGGCTCCAGCAGCAAAACGCTAGAAACAGCACCAAACAGAGCCCAAACCCGCTCAAACGAGCAAAACCTGCCGCATCTGAAAGGGGGAAAGCTCCGACCCCCACCCGATACCTGCACAAAACAGACCGCGAGGCGGGCGGGCTGAGAGGAGTGGGTCCGGCCTACACGCGGCCTAAGAGCACCGGCCGCCATTGCGGTGAACTGGCACAATACAGAGCCAACCCGCTGAGAGACGAGCATTCTTGGCGAGGGGAGACCCCTGGCCCGGGGCACGGCCCCGTCTCCCCCCCCTGGCCGGCGAGGGATATCCCGGCCACATGGTGGAGACAGGTACCACAGCGGTAGCCCCCGCGTGGACACCATGCCGACTACCTTAACTGGCAATGGCAAAGAGATGGCCAGCCAGCTGTACTGGACATTAACATCGAGGAGAACTCCCCTAAACGGTGAACGCATCCCGACAGGGACAGAGAAGACTCAAGCCGACACAGAAGCATAGGAGGTTGCGGATTCGACGCAGCCTCACCATACCAATGGCATGGTTTCTCCTCAAGGGCATCATTGAAAGAGGAGTGCAGAGACACCAAAGGAGACAACTAACCGAGGGGAGACAACCTGGATGGCTGGGACAGACACCGGTGATGCCGGGCCCCCAATGGACCCTCCACGATGCCAATCGACCCGCAGGAAAAGTGAGTGCCTGGGCCTCTGGGCCTGGGAGGTCCTCAGAGAGCCATGTCCCTGAAGCTGAGAGCCCTGTAGGGTGGGTTTGCACAGCCCTCCCGGCGGACCGGTGGCCAGAAGTGGCGTGCACCGGCCCCAAGTGTGAGGCCGGCACAGGGAGAGACAATGGAACACAACCTCCACTGGGTCTGGAGCAGTGATGGGGAGGTGCAGGGAGCAAGAGGCCTACGGACCCTAGGTGTGGGGGTCCAGCGGATCATTTTTGCCTCTGAGTGCCCACAGCATTGCAGAGGGCTCAGGTGCTGGGCCGAGACCATCCAGGGGGAGACTGACGGAGACTCGGCGTCCCGGGAGATGCACCACGGCCAAGCCATGGACGGCCCTTATCGGACTGACACTACGAACAGTCCTGCTCTTATACTGTTGTAAACGCTATAGTTATACTAAACGTTGCGAGGTGTACCTTCGAGCCCTGCTACAGTTCGTCTTAGCTGGTCACTATCTTAGCGAATATCACTTTAGGCTAGTGACTGTTTAAGCTCTCTCTAAATAACACAACATGTAACTGTAAGACCCTAACTTTCGCAGCCAGCGCACGCAGAATAGTTACCCAGAAGTTGAGCATAGCATACCATTGCCCAAAAGTCGATGTATTTATAGTTCTATAGTTTACGAAGACATGACTACGCTATCTTTACTTAATGCATTAAACAAATATATGGCTTTAACTCACGCAGCATGCACAGGATATTCAGCTGTTGAGAATGGCGACCCATGCCGAAATTTAGGTATCTACGTTTATTAACACAGTATAAAAACGACCATGGTATTCGGTCACATTGCCCCATTGGGCTTAAGGTTAAAGTTAGGTAATACAGCTCCCATAACAGAACCATATGGTTAAGACCTGTCAAAATACACAGTCATGGGCCGCAATGCCTGTTTCATAACATACCACCTCGTTGACACGTGCCGCCATCAGATTATCTGCAGGCTTCAGTTAATGATGGTGGATTTATATGATTATAGGACCTATCCGGGTGCAGTCATATAGATTATAGCAGTATATAGGTTATACAACCTGAAGGCACCATCCGTTATTCTGTTA